CGCTGCTTTGCTTTCTGTGGTTTTGCTTTCTTTGGTTTCAGTTACCTGCAATCAGTCCCGGTCTGGAAGCAGATGATCATCCTCATACCATCAGGTCAGTAGTAGCGTAATACTTCATCTCAGCGCCTGTTTCATTCACCACACTTTGTCTCATCATGTAGGCATTTTATCATCTCATGTCATCACAAGACGAAGGGTGAGTACAGTACAGTGAGATATTAGAGAAAGGGACCACATTCATACAACTTTTATTACAGTATATTATAATTGTGTTATTTTATTATTAGTTATTGTTGTTAATCTGTTACTGCATCTAACTTATAAGTGACACTTTATCATAGGTACGTATGCATAGGGAAAACCTAGTATATAAAGTGTTCAGTACTATCTGTAGTTTCAGGTATCCACTGGGGGGTCTTGGAACATATCCCCCAGGGATAAGCTGGGGAACTACTCTAAATGTTGGTCACTAAGGAACCCCGTGGTGAACTATCATTATTTCCTCTCAACTATAACCTTATTTTTCCCTGAATTAATAATTACCTGATTTTAAAATTTGCTTAGTTTTTTATATTCAATTGCAAAGATTATTCAAAGGGTTAAATGCTCCAAAACATCATATAATCTATCAAATTCCTTTTTTTTTTTTTTTTTTTTTTTTTTTTTTTTTTTTTTTTTGACCTTCGGGGACCTTTCTTCCACAATCCTTCATCTTCTGCCATCTGGACTGTTGTTTTCTAGGCCTGTGCATGGCTCAGTGGTCATTCTGGGACCTACTTTGTTTTTTAGTTTTATGTTGGATTTCCCGTTTATTGGATCCTATGACTTCCTATTTCTTGATTCACTGCCCCTTTTTTTGCCAACGTGTATTCACTACTGAAAACTTCCTAGAAAAAAGTATGGCAAGCTAAAGACTTTGAGGCTTTACAGGTCTGAAAATGTCTCTACTCTTGAATGGTTGGTAGTTTGGAGTATATGTCGAAAATAATTTTTTCTCAGAATTTTAAAAGCAGTGCTCCATTGTCTTATTGCATTCATTATTTCTGTGAGAATTCTGAAACTATTCTTTCATACAGACCTGTTCTTTTACACTCTGGAAGCTTTCAGAGGCTCCTCTTTACCCCTGACATTTCATGATGTTGTGTGGGTCTTTATTCATGCCAATGGGTACTCAACTTGGTGGAGTCTTTCAATTTGTAGACTTGTCTGTTTCATTTCTGGGAATATTTCTGTGTTATCTTTTTCACAATTTTCTCTCCTCCAGTTTCTCCATCCTGTCTTTCTAGAATTTCTATTATTTGAATGGTGGAACTCCCAGATTGATCCTCTAATTAAAAAAATTTTTCCTCTCCGGTTGTTCATTGTGTTGTATTATATTTGTTCTTTTTGTTATCATCCAGCTCTTCCATTGATTTTTTTTTTTTTTAGCTATGTATTTTAATTTCTAAGATTTTTTTTTTTCTCTCTGTTCCTTTTTTATGATACCGTTTCATTTCAGTGGGGATCTTTTCTTTGGAGCCATTTGGTTTCTCTAGAAAGGACTCCTAAGTTTTGGTAGGGTAGAAAAAGAGGGCTGAGGACCCCAGAGTTTATATGGTGGCTTTTCCTTAATCTCCTACTTTCAGTGTCCCTATGTCCTGACCCGCCCCACTCCAGCCTTCTGTGGATGGTGACATCCACATTCAGTTTCTCATTCAGTTTCTTCTGTGCATAGAGGTTGGGTGGGTTGTCTGGCTGTGGAAAGTGGGAAGAAGACGTGGGGTCCAGTTGCTTTTTATACAGATTTCTAGTCCTATATTCAGCTGTATACTTCACTCCCTTTTTCTGTAACACCTGGTACTTCCAAGTCCTGAACTTATTAGGTGCTAGGTAGAATGTATTTGTTGGCTTCTCTCTTCTGGGGACTAAGGCTTTAACTTCCTCCATTCTGCTAGATTAGTTATCACACCTCCTCTTGTTTTCTATTTTTATGAACTTTATTAAAATCTCATGGCTGTATAGCCTGTTTTCTTTGTCTTTATGGATTAATACCATTTATATTCCTTTGATCTCTTTTTGGTGGGGTTTGGAGGTAGAGAAAACAAATATAAGTGGTCAGTCTACTGTATTTAACTGGAAGTCTAGATTTCAATTCAGATAGTGTGTAGAAAATAAAACTGTGTGTGTATTATTCTGTAATTTATTGTTTCCACTTTCTAATGACTTTTAACTAATATGATTCTACTGTACTACCTACCTTATAGAGTTGTTGTGAGGATTAGAAGAATCAATACATCTGAAGCAATTAGAACAGTGCCTGACACTTGGTGTGTGTTAAATCAGTGTTAGCTATTATTAATATTGTTGCTACCATTATTATTTTTACTACTATCACCCTTATTTCAGTAATCCATTAGATCTAAATTAAAATGTTTTCATCACAGGAAGAATTATTGACATATGGAAAAATCTAGTGTTTGATAATATTGACCCTCATTTAACTAGACTTCACATGGAATGTTCAGGGGTTAGATGTAATCTTTCGAAGATACATGAAAGCCTTAAAAAATCCAATCAGTAGTGATTACTGCATAAGATTTTAAAAGCATATAATAACAATTTTGATGTGTTTTTAAGCTTTATTGGTATTGTGTTTTGATCATCTAAATGTGAAGTATAGAAAATAAATTTATGGAGGTGATGTTTATTATGCCTTTCCTACAGCCAGTAAATGTATACTCTTTGAGTATATAGAGTATAGAAATGGACAAACAGTGGACTCCAGTCACTGGATCTATGACCTTGTCAGTGGTTGTATAGTTTTCAGAAAATGTTGTGAAGTTATAAATCAAAATGTCTGCATTTGCTCAGTTATTTAAAGTATCTTCTTTGTATCTAGATTGAGTGTATGATAATGCTGAATTCTAATTCTTAGAAGTGAAGTGGCATTAGGTGCTCACACTCCTCTTTTTATGGGTAGAGAGCTGCATACTTTGGGGAAGTTTTTTTATTTATAAGGAAATTTGCATTCTCTCTCACTGAAGTAGAGTCCCATGGTTGTGACAAATGGCTGTAAATATTAGTACTATTAGAGGTGAGAAAGATTTCGTTTTCTTTTTTTAAAGATTTTAGTTTTAAGTAATCTCGACATCCAACGTGGGTCTCGAACTTACAACCTTGAGATCAAGAGTTGCTCGCTCTACCAACTGAGCCAACCAGGCACCCCGAGATGAGAAATTTTTCTACAAAAGAAATAGCCAGTTACTTAGTGTGAATAAACTTATTTGCAAATTATCAGGTTGACTTTGCTAGTATAGAATAAACAGGGAGACATGGCCAGGGTTAAAACCGTGCCTGCTAT